CGACGCCTTTGCGCGAGACATGGTCGTTCACACAGCGATCCAAGAGTCTTCTCCTATCACGTCCGACATCTACGAACAACTATTTGATAGTATACTTGCAAGCGAGCTCTTTACCGAGTGGCTACAATGTAAAGATCATTGGCAACTCCATGTTATTGGCGGGCCGGGGTCTGGAAAGGTCAGTCTCTGTCTAGAGCACTGACGAAGATGCTCATGGCATAGTCAGACAACGTTCGCAGCACTAGTAGCCAAACGCTTGAGGGAAATCATATCAGCGTCAGAAGAGCAGACCTTCCAGCTTGCCAACATCTTCATCAACCATCGCAACAGAATTGAGAATGAACTCGCCTTTTTAGAGGATCTCTTGGATAGCATATACAACCAAGTGTCGCCCCCTAGCTGCGATGTCGATCCTGCGACGGTTTTAGTGTACAGCGCATACAAGGAATTACTACGCACAGGGCAGAGAGCTTCGAAAAGGATTGATTCCATTGCACAAGCACTCCGCTTAAGGACTGCAGAGTTGGCCAGAAAGGGAGACGTGGTACTTATCATCGACCATCTAGATCAGTGCAGTCCAGCACTACGGGAACTGGTACAGCATCACTTCGATGCATTGCAAGACAAGGGACTGAAGATACTTGTCACGTCACGATTACCCAGGCACGAACCAGCAATGATCATTTGGTGCGATTATCACCCGCAAGACTCACCCCTCACGGTTTTTTGGCGCTGCTCTAAATGCCAGCAAAAGGATATTTGCATTGATTGCAAGAGGGAAGATACTCCTTGTGAGCAGTGGTAAGTACAGTCCGGCCTGGAAAATACGCAGATGAAATACGAGCCATGGCAATAACACTATCTAACTCCATAATCAGCGATTCGGTAGGCACTTGGAAGGCCCCAGAGTATTACACTCTGACACTCAATGGCATGTCCGACGATGCCATGGCAGAGTACATAGCATGGGATCTCGAAAGAGAGCATGGCGATCTCGGATTCATGACCTTGGAGGATCTATCGGAACCTCCGTTATCGTCATTCGGGCTCGCCTTTAGAAATACTATGCAAGGTAACAAAGGTCATGAGTGGATAAAAAAAATCGCGCGTTATGTTGACGGAAGCATTCTGCAGGCGAAGCTTGCCGTTGACAGAATTCACAACCTGCCTTTCCCCGAGGCCCTTGACCTCATGCCAAAACGTATACCGAGAAATGTTCAAGCTCATTTCAACACCGCGATCAAAACGATTAAGCAGCAATCGGGGGCCGACAGCTCTTCGGTAGCTCTCAAGACTATCGCAGCAGTGGGTCGGAAAGGAGATGCGGTTCGAGGTTTGCCCCTGTCTCGCCTTGCTAACCTACTGCGAGAGCGAACTCGCAATCCACGCATGAATATAATGCCATCTCGCAGTCCAGAAGATGTGCTGGAGTCCGCAAACGGATACCTCATCATCATTGCCCCGCCATTCCTCGGTCAAGAATCCACCATTGCAGCGTATCACCGCCTTTTCTGGTTGTTCGTAAACGATGAATACAACGAAGACTTGATTTGGGCGTATGCACAATTGCCGATGTCCAAGGTTCCTAGGTCCCATACATTTCAGTCACCGTTAGCTCGGCCTTTGTCAACTTTTCAGTCGTCGATACCAAGCTCCAGGCGCGAGTCATCAGATTCTTTCAAAGGGCTAGGATTGGTCTTTTCTGCTTCGCCAATGATTTCACCGCCGGAAGAGACGGGGTTGGACTTTCAGTAGACAGAATAGAGTTGTTCAAAGTTGTGAGCTACTGCAGATACAAAATTCTTCATGCCAGCTGATCAGGTGGTAATTGTGATATATGATCTTCTATCTCACTCTATGTAAAAGTTCTTGCAAGGAGTTGTGTCCGTCTCCAATATCGAGCCTGGTAGGCTGCTGCTCGTTGTCAGAAGGCTTTGCCAAGTCTTGTAGCTCAGATGGCGAATGTCAAGGACACCGGTCCGCCGAAAGCACCAAGGCTCATTTGCTTCTTGTAATAAGAGACCATGACCTTCAAACCAAACTTCCTCTTCTGCTTCTTCCGGCATGGTATCTGTTTCGACCTTGTTGGAGCGTTCCGTCAATGCAATCACAACAAATATCGCGTCGAGGTCGTCCAAACTCGGGATGATATCGGGAAACACGTCGATCTTATCGGTCTCGTCGAATGCGTGAGGAATCTTCAAATACCATGCGCGGGGTTGCGTTTGGCTCAGATGGCCTGCGTGTAGAAAGCCTTGCATCGCAATTTTATTACTTTTCAAGGTTGGCTCTTTCTCTCGCCTTTCATCAGGCGACGTCTGCGAATTTTGCTGTGCATTGGATTGTTGCGTTCCTTGCCTTGAACTGGGTATGCGAGGCGTGTGTTCCATTCGTAGCGGCGATGAAGTCCTTGTCCTAAACAGGGGGCGAGGCGTTTGAGCAGCGTCTGAAGATCCACGTACGTCTGGGTGCGAGCTCGCACGTGCCGTCGAACTTGAATGACGCCGTCTCTCGATTGACAAGTCTAATTCTCTTGTCATATCGCTAGCGCTTCCTGAACTTCTTGCCGGCATTCTTGGTCGAATTCCTTGCTCACCAACGTCAAACCAGATCCTATCGCCAGCGTGATCTTGAATAATGTAGCTTCTTTGCCACCAATCCGATCTGTTCGGGCTCAATATAGTCCCTTGCATAGAAGTCCAAGACCAGGTTGGGTTTACGCTCAGCTCCGGAGGCCGTTTGCTGGTTGTGCAGTCTACAACTCTCCAAGCCAACTGCTCCTCAAGAGCTCCCTCCCACATTCCAGCAACGTACTCTTCGCTTTGCATTTCTCGAAGCCGTTTTACCACGCCCCAAATTGCCATACGTTTGTCGGTCTGATTAGTGAGATCAAGGCCCGTATATTCTCTGACTGTTGCTCTCCATAGGTCATCGAGCGAGTCGTCATTGACCCCAGAAAGCAGTGTCGTACCCCTTGTACTCTCCTGTAGACGCCCACGCCAATGGCGATCCCGTGCCGACTGCTGGTCTAAAGGCAAAGGTAACCCAGCCGGAAGAGTTTCGCAAGCGCTCATCTCGGTACAATCCCAGAAGATTTGATGTTTGCTGAAATGCAAGATCCTAGGCGCAAGCATACGCTCTGAAGACTGTTAGATAAGCGTTCAGAGTTTCTCAGAGACACTGACCTTGATAAACCCAACCGCGTTTGTACAATGGCTTCTCGAGAAGGCCTTGATCCCACAGATCGCCACGTACAACTACCCACCGTTGCTTACCCAGGATATGAGACGCATCATTGGGGTCCAGAGTAGCTGGTATGACGTCCCGTGCCTCTCTTTGCCGAAAGAGGCCTCCAGCACCGTTCTCCGAATCGGCAGCAGCGATGTTGCAGAATGAGTTTCTGTACACTTGTTCCATCCGAGAGCCTTCATGCTTCCAGTCGGCAGCATCTCCTTGCTATACAATCGTCAGCACGGCCTATCAGGAAGAATAACAATACTACCATGATGCAGACTGAATCAAGTAGGGCAATGTCAGCTTCCACTATCCTTTTGGCGTTATAATGAGAGCTTACGAGAATCAATCCAAATGTAGTCAACTTCGAGGAACCACGCCACCTCAATGGCCTGCTTAAAAGTGTTTGACAATTTACGCCACGGCAAACCGACAAGCATGAACTCTTCAAGAGTACTAGAGTTCAGAGTCACCAACGGATCTTTTCCCCAACAGTGACTTAGGGTGACGTAAGGTCCCTTGACATTGTTAAGCTTGGTGTTAACTACCCGCAGCCGATCCCCTGTACGGTGGCCGCCGATGTGTAGTAGTCGTGTGGGAATGAACTTGCTCGCCGAGCCAGCGCGCTTAGGACAGTATTTGTGTCCAATACCACAAGCCCTAATCCAGTCCTTGATCTGCTGGCCACCATTGAACGCAGGATTTGTGCTCGTACCAAGCTCAGCGGCAGACAATAAACCATCAACTTCTTCTTCGAGGAAACAGTAGAAAACTCGTTCCGGTATTCCAAAGGTTCGTGGCTTTCCCTCGTGATTCTCGTTATTCTCATCATTGAGTTGCCTCGGTACAATTCGAAATGTGATTGCTACTTCGTGTTTGGTCTCTCGGGAACGTCCCAAGCTACGAATACTCCATCGGTGTAAAGATACGACCGAGCCCTGGCCTGGCTGTAGTTTGTCAACTCTTGCGACGTCCTCATGCAGAAATCGCTTTAAGCTGGTGTTTTGGTGTTCATGTTTGTGCAGGAGCGAGCGATGCATTAGAACGTCTTCATGCAGAAGACTACAGAAGGTGCAGCCTCGGCGAGCAGAGCTCGTAAGGGACGATGCGCTTGGGTGGTGATAACCCCATGACTTCTTCGCCCCCAAAACGTTCACGTAGCAGAAGTCGCAGAAACCAGTTTTGTGTGCCATTCTCGGAACCCACCATTCAGACCAAATGAAGAGTTATGGCGATGCGCGAAAGTCGCGGAGAGAACGAGCTCCCGTCTAGGATCACCAGCAGGTACCGGTAGTAGGTAAGCGACTGAGAGCCTTGCCGACGTAGCTCCGGTTGGAGTAGGGTTGCAATCGGTCCATCTCAGGTGTTCAAATACATATTTTAAGGTCAGCTTTTAATCTAAAATGAGTAGTGCGTCTTCCGCGGCTTTGACTACCCAGACGAGTGCAGTCGGCCCCCACGCTAAGCGCTCGCTGGCTCGGTTTCAACAGACGCCACCAACACGCTAAGTAGTGCGACGTTATGTCGTGATTTGTGCGAGTATGTCGGGTAAGCATGCAAAAGACAGTAAACAATGCACTGTTAGTAGGTATACACTGCCTTCCATGCTTAGCTTAAATTGCTGTATTAGTCTATAATGATCTTAAACACTTTCTTACATACAACTACAGGACCTTCAAAACAAGTTTACCCGCCTGCTCTGCCTCGAAGCAATCATCTAACTTCGAATTTGTACTTTGCGCTGGTTATTTATCAGTGAAATTTCACTAATTACCTAGCTGGTGGAACTTACTAGTTGATGGAACGCATCGTGACTTTAGTAATGAGGGTCTGGTATCCATAATCCTCAAGTATGGAGGAGTCGTCATAACATCGATCTTACGAGTGCGTCGCACCTCAAGGGCATTTTTGCCAAGGTATCGCTGTGAACGAAAGCTACAATGAAGGCGGACAGAATTTTAGCGGATGCTTGACTTTCAGAGTATTTCCATGTTACATAGTCGAACACAAGAAATTACGCACCTCCAACTAATGTTGGCCTGCACAACATTCTGAATGCCATCAATGTACCGGCGGACCTCACCATCGATATCTGCACCCCAACTGGGCAGATTATGGATAGCTTGATCCCATTGAATGTAACGCTGCTCGAGCAGGGAACCCAATATATCGAAAGCTTCTTGCGCTGAGTACCCGGCTAGTCGGCATGCAGCGGTCATATTGAAAGGACACCCCTCGCCCTATGCATTTGAGATATCAGTGGAGTGTCTTAATGACTTATACATGTATCTTCAGGCCAAAATTACCTCTTCTTTGCGGTACGAGAGTATGTCGTTAGATCTGGTGCGCGTACGATTAGTGTCATAGAATGACATAGAAGAATAATTGAAGTGGCGTACAGAATAACGAAGTCAGCACCGAGGCACTCTAGTGTTTGAATCACGGGGTGATCAAAGACCTCATCTGGAAGCACAATCTCATGCGCGTACTCAACGAGATGGTAGAGTGGCGCGACGCCAACCGATAGCTGCCGTGTCGATAGCATCTCCTCTAGGGACGGGATGTGATTGGTGGTGAAGTGCCCGACGTGGTGCGCTACACCTAGCGTGTAGTGCTGCATAGCACGAACAAATCGTCTCTGGGTACCGTAGGAGGAGCCTTTTTTGAACCGTTTGTAAATGTCGTCATGTGCCTTCACGATAGGGAGCTTGTATCCGACGAAGGGACTGCCCATCATGTTGGCCATGAGGCTATCGAGAACATGCTCGGATGTTGAAAGGTCGGTCCTCAGCTCGCCTGAGTCGAATACTGTGATATTATCCACCGTCAGTGAGAAAAGAGGTCATGCCTGAAACACACCAAATTTTTATCGGTGTTGGAATGAAAGCTCACAGTCGTCGAATGGAAAGACCCAATTTCCCCAGTCGCATAAAGTTTTCAGCCTGTCTGGAGGCGCGTCGGGTGCGGCGATGGAGATGAAAAACGAGAAATCGCAGGCGCTGACCTTTTCGCTCATACTAGGAGCGAAGTCGCATGTTCTGATCAATGCGGTTAGGGCGCAATGTTGGATCTAGGTATCTGACAACGGAAACTACTGACTTTGCAAGCCATCGCTCCGACTCCAGTTTAGCAGCTTGGTACCCCTTATTATATCTGGGTTCTTGGGTCAAGAAGCACTTAAATAGGTCAGGGATGGTAACGACAGTTCTCTCCTCCATAGCTGCGGCCATGAAATGAAATGATGTAGTGTGATAGCAATAAATGGGGGTTTGCCCTAAAGCTAGGACAATGAATGAATGGAGAGTCGAGTGAGAGGCACAAGTCAAGATAAAACTGACATGGAAAGAGACAATTGTATAAAGCAGCTAGCTTGGGTCAATAGCTAAATCGATCTGACCGGCAATGTGCAACACGGGAAAGAAACCCTTGAATGACGTCCTAAGACGCTGTCCACGAGTCGAGTGGGTCTTAAACGTGGCGCCTCGTCGTTAAAGATACTACAGTGGTAGCAAGAACAAAGATTGCGGTATAAGCGGCACAGCCCACACTAGCCCGTCACGGAGAAATAAGTAGCACCCTGAATTGTGGAAACCTGATAGGATCAGCAGCGTATCCCGCAAGAGAGTTAACGAGCAACGAGTCTAATTTCCCATTAGTGTTCTACCTCAGTGTAAGCACTTATGCATGATGATCTTGAACTGTACAACAAAGTGGAAAACTCACGTAATACCCAAGCTTTCACGTGTCAACTAGTAAAATTGGTGTGTGGATCTATATAAACGTAGTCTCGGATAGGGATGACTTTTGGCCAAGAAGGGGTACCTAGTCAAACCAAGATATGGACAAGATATTTTAGAAGCACTAAGAAGCAGTCCCTTCGCCCGAAAGACGGCACACTCTCAAAGGGGGATAGTGCGGTGAGAGGGGGCCATTTTTCGTGTGGAGGGGTGGAAGCCTTAATTCTTGGCGAAATTATCAGGAAACCCGATGCATACGTACTACTCGCGTCTCGTATCTAGAAAATTGGGGTCCAATTGGTATCTTCAATCGGAGCCAGCACAAAATGTCAATCTCACTGCCTAGTTTCCCTCACAAATCTTCCAAGTTCGCTTCCGAATCCCAGCCCTTCCCCTTGAATGCTAGTGTGCATTTATGCGTAGCGCATTCAAAAGGGTAATAGTTGTATATACTACTAAGAACACACAAACATCAGCTTCAAAGCTTCTGGTACAATTATTCAACCGCACTCGGGAGAGACATGGCCAGCCATAAATACTCCAAGGCTACGGCAGAGGACATTCGAACCGTTGGAAATTATTCTTTTTACTGGACAAAGGAACACGTTTCTAAGGAAAAAACTGACCCCCTTCGCTTCGAGCACGATGAGCTGAGTGCCACCACTGTCAACATCATCCAAAAGATCCACCAGCGCGAGCAGGAAGCCCGCAAGCAACGGGGGGAACCGACAGAAAGACTCGACATGTTCGCGACACTCAAAGCCAACCGGCATCATGATGAGACACTCGGGGAATTCTGGAAACAGGTCAACACAGTGCCCGATTGGGTCAACTGGGAGCAAGTTGAACGCGGGCAGCGCTTTTTCTATCGTTACGCATTAGGGAACATCATTGGCTTCGCGCTCCAGGGATTTGTTGGCGAGAATTCGGCTTCAACAAGTGTGGTTGAGGTGTTGCTGCGAACAGGCGGCTTCAGTACGCGATCGTTACGGAGGCGGCTATTGGAGACGTTCCAGCTCGTGCTCGAGGTGACACATTCATTGGACTTTATTAAACCCGGGGGTAAAGGTCACGAGACTACCATACGTGTGCGTTTGTTGCACGCGATGGTCCAACAACGTATGCTACGTGTGGCTGAGGTCAAAGGTCCCTCTTACTATGACACCAGCATCCACGGTCCACCCATGAACACGCTTGACTCGATCCATGCCCTCGCCACTTTCAGTTGTAACCACGCTTGGCAGCAGTTACCTCATATGGGCATCTGCCCACCTCAACAAGAGGTCGACGACTACATTGCGCTTTGGAGATATGTCGGTCACGTCATCGGCACCCCAACCGACTTCTTTGCAACAACATCTCAAGCCAAGGCTATCATGGAGTCTCTGAGCTATAACGAGCTACACATTACGCCATCATCACTCGTCGTTGGACACAACTTCGTTGAGGCCCTCAAAGACCTTCCACCCGTCAACATATCAGCTGGCTTTATCGAAGCCGGCAGCCGCCGCCTCAACGGAGATGATATCTGTGATCAGCTGGGCATGGGCCGCCCAGGCTGGTATCCTTACGCTTGTTTCAAAGGTCACTGCTGGCTTGTAGTTGCCCTTGCGACTGCCCAGCGCTGTATTCCATCGTTTGAGGCTTGGTCTATCCAGTTTTGCCGCGAGGTCTTGCATAACGCCATTATCCACTCCAAGTATGGCCTCAAGGGTGGCTCTTTGCTCGATTTCAAGTACGTTCCGAATGGTCAAATCACAGGGTGTGAGAAGAACGATCGCCTCGATGGTGATCAGATGTGGTTTTATGAACGCCCACTTGAGCTACTCTACTTTATCATTTTCTGTGGTGGATGTCTCTCCATGATTGGCAGCGCAATCACCGCGGCCTGGCTTTTGCGGGGGTTTTTGCCCTATAGTGTGGCTCTTCTCGGCATGAAATAAGATAAGTGAGCGATGGTGAACCAAAGATAAAGCCTATAATAGATGCTTAATTATATAGCTTCAACTATATTACGGACACTACTATTTACCTATTTGACAGCAGCTACTGCCTATACATTGTATAATACTTATTAGCTGTTACGAACTGACCTAAGTACTGCAAGCTAGTGCCTAGAGTGGGAGTACTCTAGCAAATGGGTACCCCCCCCCTCCCTCAACCTAGAGGTATGGTAGAGTTATTGTAGTGGTCGTACAGGCCGCGGGTAGAGGTAGGGGTATACCCTATCCCTTGTACGTGAAAACTCCAAGTTTTAGTATTAGGAGGTTTATATCGTTCCCGTTCGAGACTACTCTTGATGGATACTCCACTACCAATGCGAAGCAGGTGTCTACCTGCATATTGTAGGTGCATCTCCATAGGCATTACAAACAGCGCCTATGTTATTGCCAGAACACTATGACGTTGGTTAGTTTTCTTTCTCTCAAGAGTAAACAAAACTAACACTGCCTGTGGCGCAGGGAAAATGGAAAATCCTATCAGGGCCTCTAGTGACTCCACACCCCCCGAGATGGTCGCAGATCTATAAAATAGTTAGATGATATTTGCTTGGTTTAGCCGAAAGTACTTACTCCTAGGCAGCCCCCAATAGCCTTGGAACAGCCAACACGCTCTCTGCTTTTTAACATAGGAGCGACTGCACTACCTCGTGTTATAATAGAGGGCATGGCCAGAGCTAGCGATGCTAAAGAATAAACGACTGCAATCGAAAATTTTATATTGTGAGATAAAAATGATTTTGGATAACGTAAAGCACCACCGAGCCGGACACTTTTTCTTGGCATCGCGAACATCACTTGCAAAGTAATATGTCCTAACCACGTGAAGAGATATTAACT